TGGAGGAGAATCCCTCCCCGCGGCTTCGGCCGCGGGCTGCCCCGCGTACTCTGGGGGGGGCAAAGACTGCCTTTCTCATACAACCACGACCCAGGCTAGGACAACGGATTTGATTGCAAGTGATTTGGTGACGGTTACGGAGGTGACGAGGCGCCCATCATTGGACGGCGTCCAATTGAAGGAGGCGAGAGTGCTGCTGGAGCGCGTTCCGATAGTGGTATCGAACGCCTCGCAGCAGCGCCTACCTACATTCAGCGACACGTCGGACTCCGATGTGTCGCTGATGGATATGGAGGTAGAGCCACCGGAGGACCGAGAAGACCGGCACCCTGGGTACCCCTGGGGAAGCCTTGGTCGGAAACGGTTACGGGACCAAGCCGTCGCACCAGGCGACGCAGAGGCGGGACCCTCGCCCAAACTGGCAGGGACAAAGAAGGGCCGAGGACGGCCACTGACACCCGGCGGGTACTTAGGTTTCGACTTGGCGAAGCGGGAGTTGGCGGAGGCTACCCGACGCCAACGAGAATGGGAGGCGGAAAACGACCTAGCCGAGGTGACGACGGGGCTGCGGTCGACAAAAGTAGGGGCCCGACTAGCGGAAACCTACACATCGGAGGATGAAGAGCTAGGCTCGGCTGAACTTGGCGGTCAAATAGAGCTTGGCGCAGCGGCCGTGGCGACCGTTTGCGCCAAGTCTAACAACCTCAAAGGGACTGCCAAGAAGGCGCTCAAGGAGGCGGTAGCGCAGATTCGGGCGGCGTCAAAACTCCTGACGACGCGCAACATAAATGAGGAGACAAGGATTCTGCAAGCGGCTAACTCCCGCCTTCAGGCGGAGATGGTCGCATTGAAGAAAGAGGTTGCGGAACTGAAGGCGTGCATGCTGCAGGTGGGGGCAACACCCAAACCCGCCGCAGCGGCATGCCCCCATAACTCGGACGAGGACTTGGAGAACCGGATCATAAGCAGGCTCTCGGACCGACTCAACGCTCGCATAGACGGGCTAGAGCCGCGTCTGAATCCAGAGCCTCGCTTGCGACCGGCACTGGCTCACGACAGGCGTGAGGCGGAAGCCAGGAGGAAACCCCCGGCAAGCCGCCCACGCCAAACACCGGCTACGACCCAGGCAGAACTGCCTGAAGTGCGCCTCCCTGAACCGGCCCAATCGGGCTGGATCAAGGTCGGCGCAAAGGGAAAGGCGAAGGCGTCGACCTCTACATCGACGCCGGCCGCTTCTTCTTCCTCTTCCACGGCCCCAGCCGCCCAATCGGGCCAAAAGGCTAAGAAGAAGGCCAAGAAGAAGAAAACGGCCAAAAAACAGGAGACGGTACGTTCCCTCCCGCCGGCGCCTGCATCCATGAAGGATACCATGGCGTCGGTTGTGAAGAGGGGCCTAAGGGAAAAAGCGCCGGCGCCCATCAGATCGGCGCCAATGCCCAAGAAGAAGGAACAGGAGAAGGCCAAGCCTTCGCCTAAGCTGCGGGCCCCCAAGACCTCGGCAGTCGTGGTGACTGTACATCCCACGGCTGTGGAGAAGGGGGTCACGTACGCCAAAGCGCTGGCTGAGGCTAGACAAAAGGTAAACCTCAAAGATTTGGAGATCGAGAGCGTCCGCTTCAAGCGCGCAGCGACTGGGGCCTCAATCATTGAGGTCTCCGGCGCCAATAGTGCACCGAAGGCGGACCTCCTCGCTGATAAGCTCCGCGAGGTGTTCGGGAGCGGTGGCGACGTCACCGTCTCCCGACCAACCAAAATGGCGGAACTGTTGGTGGCGGGGTTGGATGACTCCGTCACCAAAGAAGAGGTGACAGCAGCGGTCTGCGCCAAAGGCGATTGCGCGGCAGACCGCGTAAAGGTGGGGTCACTCCGTCAGGAGAGATCCGGCCTCTTTGCCGTCTGGGTGGCATGCCCTGTCGAAGCTGCCAAAAGGGTAGTTGAAGGCAAGCTGCTTGTAGGCTGGGTGTCGGCCAGAGTGAAGCTCCTGGAACGCAGGGAGCTTAGGTGCTTCAAGTGCCTTCACTCTGGCCACGTCAAGGCGCGATGTACTGCGGTGGCCGACCGGGGGCTTCAGTGCTACCGGTGCGGCCAGATGGGACACCGCGCCGCGGACTGCAATGCTGCCCCCCACTGCACACTGTGTGCGGAGGCTGGGAAGGCAGCGAACCATCGCTTGGGGAGCAAGACATGCTCGGCCCCCAAGAAAAGGATGGTTAGGAGGATGTTTGTTGCGAGCAGCGCTGGCTCGCAACAGGCACAAGCACCACCGAGCGGTGTAGAAGCGATGGAGACTGAAAACACAATATCTCATAATGACGAGTAAGGCTACCAAATATCTGCAGGCCAACATCAACCACTGCGCCAGAGCTCAGGATTTATTGATCCAGAGCATGGCGCAGTGGTCGATCAACGTAACGGTGGTGACAGAGCCTTACCTTGTTCCTACAAGGAACAACTGGGTGGGCGATGAAGACGACCTGGCGGCAATTGCGGTGTCTAACGGCACTGCAATAAAAAAGTCGCGGAAAGGTCAAGGAGTTGTCGCGGCTCTATGCGGCGAAGTGATGGTGGTCGGGGCGTATTTCTCGCCGAACCGGCCACTATCCGAGTTCGAGTCGTTCCTCGGGGAGATGGACTCGGTCCTGGCCTGGTGCCGCCCATACCAGATCGTCGTGGCTGGCGATCTGAACGCCAAGTCCACGGTCTGGGGGTGCCGTGCCACGGATGCGAGGGGGGAATTGGTGGAGGAATGGCTCGCCTCGAACGGGCTAGTCGTCCTGAACGTGGGGGACACGGACACATGCGTGCGGATGCAGGGTGGCTCAATTGTGGACGTGTCCTTCGCCAGCGCGGACCTGGCACGAGGCGTCCGGGATTGGGAAGTCCTGGAGGGTGTGGAGACGTTGTCTGATCACCGGTATATTCGGTTTGACGTCTTCCCCCTCTCGGGCGGTTCCGGTCCCGGGCGTGTCGTGTCGGAGGCGGGCCCGAGGTGGGCCTTGAAAAAGCTGGATATAGAGGCGGTTATCGAGGCGTCTCTGGTCGCCAGCTGGAATCCAGCACCGGAAGTGACGGCGGTAGAGTCCGAGTCGCGGTGGCTCCACGAAGCGGTCACGCACATTTGCGACGTAGCGATGCCCCGCGTGGTGCGGCCTCCGACTCGGACGGCGGTGTATTGGTGGTCGGAAGATCTCGGCCGTCTTCGTGCGTCCTGCGTGTCGGCGAGGCGGCGATACTCTAGGTATCGTCGTCGACGCAGACGAGGCGGGCACATAGAGGACGAGGAGAGGCGCCTCTACACCGCCTACCAGGACGCCAAGAAGGCGCTCAGGGTGGCCATCGCAGAGGCGAAGGAGGCAGCCTGGCAGGAGCTACTCGAGTCGCTGGACGTCGACCCCTGGGGTCGGCCATATCGGCTCATCATGAGCAAGCTCAGGCCCTGGGCCCCACCTCTAACGTCGAGCTTGGACCCTGGGACGCTGGACAGAGTGCTGGAGACCCTGTTCCCCTCCATGAGGGAGGACTTCGAGGCACCGAGAATGGAGGTAGCGCCAGCGACGTCAAATCGTGATGCGGACGGGGAAGTCCCGGAAGTAGAGGAGAGGGAACTGTGGGCGGCTGTGGCACGGCTTCAGGCCAAAAACACCGCCCCAGGCCCCGACGGGATCCCCGGACGCATATGGGTCCTGGCGCTACGGAACGGAATTGATGGTAGGTTCCGAGATTTACTTTCTCGGTGCCTCAAGGACCATACTTTCCCAGGAGACTGGAAGACGGGGAAACTCGTACTGATTGGGAAGGCGGGAAGGCCGGCAGATTCGCCCTCGGCGTACCGCCCGATCGTCTTGCTCGGGGAGGCGGGTAAGCTTTTTGAGCGCGTTATTGCGACCCGTCTCTCTGAGCACCTCGAGCGAGTAGGGCCAAATTTGTCGGACTGCCAGTACGGTTTCCGGCGCGGCCGCTCCACCATCGATGCTATTGCACGGGTGAGGGCCGTCGCCGAAGAGGAGGTCGAGAAGGGCGGTTTCGTGTTGGCGGTATCTTTAGATATCGCCAACGCTTTTAACTCGCTGCCTCACGCCTGTATAATGGAGGCCCTGCGGTTTCATGGGGTCCCATTATACCTGCGTGAGACAATCAAGACCTACCTTTCAGATAGGACAGTGGTATATCCCACAACTACTGGATTTGGACAGAGGAGAGTGTCGTGCGGCGTTCCACAAGGTTCCGTCTTAGGGCCACTATTGTGGAACGTCGGTTACGACTGGGTCCTGCGTGGCCCGACTCTCGGCGGCGTCAGTGTCGTCTGCTATGCAGACGACACACTGGTGTTGGCAAGGGGCGGTAGCTATCGGGAAGCGAGTGTGGTAGCTACCGCCGGAGTAGCCCAAGTAGTGGGCAGGATCCGGAGACTGGGCCTGACGGTGGCCTTGGAAAAATCCGAGGCCCTGTGTTTTCACAGACCTCGCCGAGCGCCACCGCCAAACGCCCACTTGATTGTGAGCGGAGTTTCCATCGGCGTCGGGTCCACAATGAAGTACCTGGGAGTTGTGCTCGACAGCCGGTGGAAATTCAGAGAACATTTCCGGCGGTTGGCTCCGAAGCTCGCGCGCACCTCGTTCGCCCTGAGCAGGCTATTGCCTAATCTGGGCGGACCGAGCGCGAGCTGTCGGCGTCTCTACGCCGGGATTGTCAGGTCGATGGCCTTGTACGGGGCCCCTATCTGGGCAGATGCCCTCGAGCGCCACAACAAAGCCCAACTGCGAAGGTCGCAGAGGGTAGTGGCGCTCCGAGTGGCACGGGCATACCGCACGGTATCATTTGATGCCGTGAGTGTAATTGCCGGACTCCCGCCGTGGCACTTGGAGGCCGCTGCTTTGGCCGAGGTATACTGGCGGCGAGACAGGAGTAGGAGGGAGAACGAAGAACCTCCTCCTGAACTAGTTCAGGAGTGGAGAGAACAAGCGAAAAGGAGATTGATCTTGACATGGAGTGAGGAGTTGTGGATGTCCCGGGCGGGTAAGTGGACATTGGACGCTGTCCGCCCCAGACTTCAAGACTGGCTGGACAGGCGGTGGGGGCATCTTTCCTACCGGCTGGTGCAGATGCTGAGTGGCCACGGCTGCTTCGGCAAATATCTGCACCAAATAGCCGGTAGGGAAGCAACACCTCAATGCCACCACTGTCCTGCAGCATTAGATGACGTGATGCACACCATTTTTGACTGTCCGGCGTGGGAAGCCGAGAGGCGACCCATAGCCCACATTTTAGAGACGGCGACACTGACTGGGGTGCTCGACAGGATGCTCCATAGCGAGCACGACTGGGGAGCATTCCAGCAGTTCTCAGAAGACGTTCTGAACACGAAGGAAGAAGCGGAAAGGGCGAGAGAGACTGATCCAGCCTCCGCCCCTCGTCGCCAAAGGAGAACTGGCCGACGCCGGCACATATTCCACCGCCAGGCGTAGGCTAGGTACGTATTGGAGATTTATATATATATATTTGCAGAAGTTATATTTATATTCTATATTTTATATTTAATATTTATATGACCATTTGTAAATATATAGACTATAAGGCGTTAGTGTAAGTGTTATATTGTTATTATTATTACTATTGTTACTTTATACACATACACATAATGGTTAAGGAGAGATTATTTATTATTTATTTATTACTCAGTTACTTTATACACTTGTTGTTATTGTTACGTTTAGTGAATAAATAATAAATAAATGTAAGGAGAGCTGTGCAAACAGCAGCACAGGTCGAAATCCTGGTTAAGGCCTAGCTGACACAGGATGAGACCAATGTGTGAAGAGGGCCCGAGGGGTTTTAGTGGGTATGGCCGAACGACTTTAGGCGAGTCCCACACTCCCTGCGC